AATTATTTAGTTTCGTTAGGATAACGCATTGTCATCCGCGATTTGGCTCTTGTTGCCCGTCTTATACGTTAAATTTATACTAATTTACCTAATTTCAAGCGATTTTTATTTTAAAAGAATTTATATTTATAAAGTTAATTTAAAGCTTATTATTATAGTTATCATAAGAGTAAATATTTACTTTTACATTGTTATAGATCCAAATAATATATCTTTTCCGGTTGACACATGTTGTCAAGGTTATGTTTGTGACCTTAAAGAGGTTTTAACTATCGTTCATTGTTTATTAAAAAATTATTAACAAAAATATTTCTGCATATCAAATCTACGTAAAAAAGCAATGACAAATATTCAATATTAGACACATTGTATAAGTGTTTATTATTCATTCTGTATATACGTACACTTTTAACAAACACATGCAAGTCTTTATATAAGGTGTTCGAAAAATGTCAAAGATTAAAAATTGCGTAAAAAAAATTTTATATGCGTAACATAAAGATTTTTTTAACCACAAAATCTGTGCGAAACAAGTTCATATCACCCGATTTCAATATGATAAGGTTTATAATTATATGGTTCTATATAGGTTTTTGCAACTTTTTTGCATAGTAGAAATTTAATTTTATCTATCTATAAATCGCGCGCAGAATGTTGCAAACCTATAAGATGTGAACCATATAATTATACACTTCCTCATATATGTATATATCAAAAGCGCCAGCGATGCCAGATTATATATAGGGTGTACAAAATAAATTCATTACTTAGTACAAAGTTGAACATTCGAATTTTCATCTATTAATAACTTTTACTTATTAATAAACAATAAGTGACGTTAAAAGTTTCTTGTAAATTATATACAGGGACGTAACCTTGACAATATATATGTCCATCATCAGCGAGATCATTAACGCCAGACACGGTGTAAAGATAAATATTTACCTTGTGTACGAATAGTACATAAAATATATTTATCTTATCGTAGATTCGCATTTTAGACTAATTTCTTGCAATTTATCTCTGTTTTGTATAATTTAACGTAATTATGTTTGTTATATGGTCAATTAATATTCGTAATACGAAATAAATTTACATATTTACGTCACTCTCTGGTTTGCAAAATCGACAATCCTCTGTGATTTTCCAACCGCACGTACCGAGTACGCTAAGTTGCAAAAGCATTGCAGAAATTGTTCGCGAAACCTTTAATGCGCCGACATCGATAACTTCTACCTTGCCTGCCGCTTAATTATGAAGAATGAAACGCTCGTTCGAACGATCACGCTGTTACGTCAGTGGAAAACGTGATTTCGCCGCATCCACTTTTTTCCGTTTGTTTCAGTTCTAAAGCGGATATTTCGTCGAATTCAACACGACAAAATTATCGTACTGCGTCGAAATTTTTTGTCAAATATGACAATCCTCATTGCAGTTTATTATCGTTACAACGATTAGACCTTAGACCCCACAAAAGCATTATACACAGTCTTTGTTCAGATTGTCAATGGAATACGAATACACTCACACACGACACGATTTACTTCATCTTATGTCACCGTAAAGCCTTGTACACATCGAATCTATCAACTCAGTCTACAGGGTGTCTCAAAATTACCGAACACGCTATTAATAGGGAAATTTTCCAGGTTATTTGTGTGTGGAGACGAGTTTGCCTCAGCAAAAATGTCAAGGCACCAATAATTTTTGAGATATAAGGGGTTGAAAATACAGGATTTTTCGCAAACTAAGTCTTGTGGGAATAAAATATTAACAAAATCATATTCTTTAATTAATTTCAGGTAGAGTTTACTTTAGTAAAATTTTAATTTAAAGCTTAGTTACAAAGATACATGATGGCAAAAATTAAGAACATGCAAAAAATGATCTTAGGAATCTTTCTATTAACAGAGTGTCCGATAATTCTGGGACACCTTGTATAGATGAGATCCACAGTTATTGTCCACTATTTACAGACTGTCTTTTTTTGTCATATCACATCTCTTATACACTGAAAAAACATTTGTTAACTTGACTAAATTTTTCAACTAAATTATTTTGTAAATTGAACATATATTAGTATTTAAATCACGTTTTGTATACGTTATATATACGTTTTGTTACATTTAATGTTATATTTAATTTAAATATTTTTAAAGCCACAATCTCCACTTGATTCCTCTCGACCAATAGAGCCAAACGCGATGTTATTGCGACAATTATGAAGGAAAGAACATTTTTGGAAAGGAATTTGAATCCTATGGTTGGGATCTCAAAAATTCCCCCTGTTCCTTCTCTTAACATCCCCTGTAAAGAAATAGGCGAGAAAAATATTGGTCCGAAAGTCGGCTGAATCGGGACTCGAATAATCGGGACTTAAATATTTTTATAGGTTCAATTATTAACAAAATAATATTTAGTTGAAAGATTTAGTCAAGTTAACAATTTTTGTTTTTAGTGTATAAAATTTAAAACTATTTGATTTGCCAACGCACATTTTTATTACTAAAAAATTTTATATTAAATAATAAAATAAAAATATATGTTATATCTGTTTTTTACGTTAATAATAAATGAATAATACATATTATTTACTGCTACTAAAAGAATTTATGTAGCGTGTCTGAAATAATATATTCCACAAATATTATTGTTGTATATTATAATACATTTTTGATATTCTTTTATTTGCATTACAATAAAAATTCTTATAAATTTTTAGTGAATTGAATTACACATTTTTATGAACAATTTTTAAAAATATGTATAAAATTTGTCTAAATCAAACAAGTATTGTGAGATTATAATAAAAAAATTAGATGTATTATGAAGATATAATGCATAACTTGAATATATTGCATTTAATTGAATTATTATCTCTCGTTTTACTTAATAAAACAGCTTTACATGATGTATTTTCTATTGAAGATGCAATTCGGTAAATAAAAAAATTCCAATTTCGCAAATTACAAAAATGATGCAACTTATAAACACTTGACAAACATTTATTTATAGATTCAGTCATTTGCAGAACCAGATCGATTATATGGAAAGCTTACTTATATATTTCTTGTATATCTATTGTAACACAGCGATAAGCGCGATAACATGATAAACAAAAATTAATTGCATTATTAGATTACCACGTTTCTTGGGAATAAAAAAATACTTAACTGATTTATCTACATAAATTTAATCCTCTTATATACAATTAAACTTATTAATATTATCTGAAGTTTCAACTCGTTAATAATATTGCGATTTTAATGTTGTTTTTATGTAACGACGTCATATTTTAATTACAAGTAACGATTGAGAAACAATTATGTATATCACGACAACATTAATTTATTTAAAACAATATTAATGCTGACTGACAAAGAAAAACATCTTTTCTATAAACTTGTTTATACTCAGTCGTGTGTAAAACCCGAGATTCCGATAAAATTTTCGCTTTTAAACATAACAACAACAACAAGCAACCCAATGAATAAAATATTTTTATAACGATATTAGAGACAAAATTAATATAAGACAAAACAAGACATATACTGACATTTAAACCAATTACAAGCTATTGGTGATTTCTTTGTTGTGATATTGTTACAATAATTTGAATACAAGTGTTTTGTGTTATAGTTTCTTACAATTTTGTCCAAAAATTTAAAAAAATATAGGGTGAGATTTTTGTGTAAGCAGTTATTTTTCCATTTAAGTCACAGTTATTAAAATCGAAACTTTTCTAAATACAAGATGCTAAGGAGAAAATATCTGACAGTCATCAATTGATTTCATTATATTCTTCATTTTATTATATCTTTTCAATTTATGACGTTATCTTAATTTTAGTTTAGGTTAATATTTATAACTCTCATCTTAATTTTTAAATTTTACCCGATTATTAAATTTATATTTTGTCATAGCATTTCTCTTAGTCCATCCTTTTTGGATTTAAACATTTTTATATGATTATATATATGCTTATATTTGTTCGTCATAATCAACGTATTTACGACAGGAACTTTACATAGATATGATTTTACAATTTATATATATTTCTATATTATTGTATTGAAGAAAACTGAGTACAGTCGAAACGTTTACTTTTCAATTATAATATATATATATATATATATATATATATATATATATATTAAAATAAAAATGATTTAACATATCTAAAATTTCCTTGCTCGTGTAATTGGCTTATCTTTTTCTTATTAATTTTTTATTCCTATTTGTAGTATTTCTTGAGAAACTCAGATTTTTTTCAATCAAATCTCGTGCGGTTGAAAATCATGCCGCTTTCACCCTCGTGCATTTGAATATAAATTCTGCGCTCTGCCAGGTCATGGCTCAAAAATAGTCACAGCATTTAGGGTGGCAAACAATGGCTCTTAGAGCGATACCTGTACGTGTTATGACGCATGAGAATCTGTTTTTCTTCTTTTTCTCTTCTTTAAGACCAAATTACTACAAATTGGATGCGGATTAAGTTACATTAAGTTACATTAAGTTACATTAAGTTACATTAAGTTACATCAAGTTACATTAAGTTACATTAAGTTATATTGATGGTTAGGGGATTGCCAATCATAGATTGACAAATCAGGCAAGCCAACTCTAATTGATCAATATTTTAACTATAATTGATTTTTTTCAAAAAAATTGCAGTAAATAACTTGAAGTAAAAATTTTGATTTAAAAATTGAAAAATGGTGCTGCTATTGTTCTTTTTGTTCTTGCTTCATTGAAAATTTCGGAGACATCCACACAAAATCGATTTGTATAAAAAAATGTCTATGTCGATTTTTATAAAAAATCTTTAAAGGAGACTAAAAAAAATTGTTTTCGATCAATATTAATTGTTTTGCGGAAACAATCGAAAAAAAGATCTGGAAACGTTTAGATATGGTTACGTAATATAATAATATCTCACAATAACTTTATCTCTATATAATCGACATTTGTTTCATATTTCATTGATCCGAGGTCAAAACATGAATGTTATTGACGAGACACATCTGTCGTCGCGTGTAAAAACAATTTCGTTCATTAGATCAGAAAGATCGTCACCAGCTGGTGAGTGTCACCTGTGAAATGTCAGTCCAAAAAATTGCATTATATAAGATAAATTAACACTTTTAAAAGAATTCGACTCAAACATAATGGATAATTGAATTATGTGTTGAATAAATCATATAATTTTTTCTAATTATATTTTTTATATGAATTTAAAAATATTAAATATTTGTATGCCCAAGAGAATCGCAGAAAGTCTCAACAATTTTGACAGATAATTGTTATATTAATTAATTTTGATAAATAATTAAAATAATGTATTATCAAAATATTTTATACGGAAAATAAATCGGCTTTTTATACAGGATGTTAAAAAATAAATAAATATTAATTATAGGTAATATTACAAATAATTTTAATTGACTCTAATAAATATTAAATTTCCACAAATGATTAATCTTTGAAATTATATACTTAAAATTAATTATCATTTCCTCGATCGATTTCGCCGAAGTATCAAACGATTTGAGTAGTCTTTTGATCAAGCGATTATTTCTCTTCGAAAGAAAAGCTTTAATCTATAAGCAAGTTTTCCCCTACTACTTTATTTACGTCGATACAGTAAGTCAGTAAGCCTTGAACGCAGAGACGATACGTTCTATAATAATCTTCGATAAAGAGTAAAAAATCGAGAAAGAGAAAACAATGGCTTCGCCGCGTGAAATCGTGCGGCGATAATTCATGTAAATTAATTATAAAAAGAATTATTTTATAATCTGATATTATGATCAAATTATATCATTTTTATGATATTTATTATGATCAAATTATATAATATTTATTAGTTACAGCATGGATATATCTAAAGAACTTATTATAAAGAGTTTTTATTTATAATTTAATTTTTTATCCTGACATTTTTACTGAAAAAAACTGTTTGCAGATTAAATTAATTTTTATTCTGCATTATTTCGGAATAATAAGTTGCGCCTTTCTCTGTTATCATGCTTTATTTGTTATCATATAATCATTTATTGATAGAGGTGCGTATGTTAATTAATTGAACCTTCAAGTCACATGGCCATTCAAATTCGCATAAAATTTAATCATGTTTGTTTCTTTTTTATTGTTTCAGATTCATATTCGTTGTCACATCTCGGTAAGTCTTTCCTCTCATTGCATGCATAACAAAAATTATACTTTTTTTTAAATTTAAATATTTTATATTATTATTTTTTTATTTTATTTATTAATACGTATAAATTAAATTGCGAGGTATTTTTCATATTATCATAAAATTGCATGCTCTCAAACGTTTGTGTTTCTCATCTATTTAATTTTTTTTCTTCTACACAAACGTACACATCATTTCCATTCTGTGTCATTTATATTTTTGTTAAATTTATAATTTACATTAATCTTCTTATGCTATATTAATTTTATATACATATATAATATTATACACGAATAAATTAATTTTATGTATTATATAATATCTTCTATTATTAAATATAATAATAATATTGATATATTTATATATTGATAAACACAATTTAATTATATGCTAATAATAATAATTTAATTATTTAATAGTTTAATTATGTTACTATTAAATATATATTAAATATTAAATATAGTAATCTAAGAAAAATAAATAAATAGAACATTGGCTTTACAAAAGTCAAAATTCAGAAAATTAAAACTTATCAGAGAATTTGTTTTATTATCAGCATGTATTTTATTACCTCTATAATAATGTAACAAATGACAGATAAAAAAAGTAGCATAAACTCATGCTTTATTAATTTTGACTAGTTCAATAATTTGGTTTAAAAAATCAAATATATAAAAATTTTCTTTTTCAAAAATCTTACAGTTGAATTTTTGTGAATGCGTCCCTGCAATTCTTTGTCCAATTCTTTATATGTATACACATAAGTATAAATTAACTGTGACAGTTGATCATATCATATTAATTGATAAAGTGAGAAGATTATTTGCACAACTGCAATAAAAAAATACTCTTGTGCGCGAATTATCTATTACTTATCTCTTGAAAGCTCAACAAAATTTGATGAATTAGTATAACTTAGTCTCATGCAACAACGTGATTCTTTGCAAAATGGAAAATTCCATGACGTTAAATTTAAGAAATTCCAATAAATTAATTGACGAATTAAATTGTCATTTCAAATATTATTTATATTATGTTCGATGAAAAAAAAATTTGATTAAAGAATAGAAAAAAATGAAAAAATGTTCATAATATTTTAAAAAAATTAACACAAAGAGAAAAAGAGAGTTTTTTCTATAGTAATTTTCAATCGATAGTTGAAAAATTGATACTCTACAAAATGTTACATCACCTATTATTACACAGAATTAATTATGATAATTAGTTACAGACTGTCATCTATCTTGTTACTGATTTGCATCACAATTCCACGTAGTTACGAATTAATTGGAAATATACATATTAAGTGGAAATTAGTGTCGAATGTTCGAGATCGAGAGTATTTTCAACATTGATCGGCGTCTCGATTAGATTTAGATCGCGGTGAAGGTCAGACGACAGTAATTCGCAATCGGAAAGGTCATGGCACAATCGTTATCGAACGAAAGCATCACGAAAATAGACTATAGAGGTACCCAATTGCTTTAACAAGGCATTTCCCTTCAATTGCTCGCATTGGGACAAATACTAAAATATTTAAAACGTCCTTTAATTTGTTCTTCCATTTAGGAATCAACAAATATGTTGATCAGATTAATGACTAATTATAGAAAATATATTAGATATGTACTTAAATATATTTGCGATTATGTCGTAAAAATAAATGTTAGATAAGAAATTCTTAAAAAAATTATCTTAAACTATAGTCTCTTCAAAATACTTGTGCACCTTATCTATCCGCGTTTAGTTTTTTATGCGGAAATAATCAGGGTCATCAAATTACATGAGTTTGTTCTGTACAATAAATATTGTTATGTTAAACTATAGTCGCATTTTAATAATAGCTACATTATACGTCGATATACTATATAACAAAGAATGCGAGTTTAGAAAACAAGCAAGTACGCAAAATACGTAACACGTCATATGTGGTGCCTTGACGTTAATTCTGGAATTCCAATTGTACGTACAAAATATTATAAGACTTGCACAAGAATGACTGTTTTGTCGTACATTTACATTGACGTAAACCAAGCGTAATTATGAAAATTCGCGCTAGTATCATATCACATTCGAGTCATTTAGATATAACAAAATGTCAATTACTATAAACATTTCTGCTTATAAATTCACTCAATGCATTTTAAAATGATTAATTCGATTTAGTATAATTGATTGATTAGATATGTCGATGTCATAAGATTCTACGTTTTTTTAACAGTTATTATAATTTTTAATACAATCCCAACAAGAAATTCAAAATAATTAGTAATATATGTATTAATTATTCCTGTAATAGCAATCATTAAATATACTGATATTACTACAATAATTACTATATTATTGCGTATTATAACGAATTATTTAATTTAATAGTGTATTTATAGAAATTTTTTAAATAAATATATTAATATTAATTATAATAAACTTAATAGTTTTTTTTACGCCATACTTTTATTGTTTAAAACATTTTTTTATATACTTAATATTTTCTTTTGTATTATATTACGCGATTTTTTCTTATTTAATATAATTTATAAATAAAGGATTTAGAATTTTCCCGTCTTTTGAATATTATCAATCGATTTATCGCATACTGCAATTGGATTCGTCATAATGTGTGTTTGTCCCAGACAGCACACAATATTTATATGATAAAGATTCATAAATATTTATGAATATATATTTTTTTCAAATATTATATAAATATTTTAAAAATGTTTTATAAAAACCTTTTTTTAACATATTTATTAAAACATAAATTAAATATTTCATATAATATTTATAGTAATTATTTTGTAAATATTTTTTAATTAAATTGTTAGTTCTTTCATTTATCGGTATGTGACGTATCTTTCTCGTATTAGATTTTCGTCGAGAATTAATAAGACTGGCAAAAACAGAAATTAATAAAATTAAAAATGTCATAAACTAATTTCTATTTTTGAACTACTATTTTTGAACAAATAAATTTACGTATATATCAATGTGTACGTAAATTTATTTGTTAAATTATACTTTGTTGCCTAAGTATATTCAGTGTATATTATAATTTTATATTCTAGTTTAAAATAAATGTCTAATAAGTTATACATATAAACATTTTTTACACATTTTTAACTTTTTATAAATGGCTATAATAGAGTTTAAAAAACACAAAAACATTCAATCGACCTAATTTTAGATTAGACTATATCAACCGATCGTTTTGATTAAAAAATCGTTAATTATGTCTTTTTAACTCATGATTTCTCACTGAGTATTTATTATAAAGAAAATATAAATTTTTAAAAATCTGTATTATAATGATTTAATAAATATATTTATAATATTTACCATAATAATTATCGCAAATATTTTCTGATATTTATGATAAATATTTATCGCGCGGTCGCAATAAACTTGTAATATTAATGTATGCAAGACAGTTAAAAGCTTTTTCCGTATTAATTTCCGGCTCTTGACAGGCATCAAGCGCTGAACTTTGCCTGAAATTGATAGATTTCAGTATTATTTATCAAGATTAATGTCACACACGCAAATATAAAATAGACCATATCTATAAAAATACATGTTTTTATTAATTTAAATACATAAAAAGAATTTAAAGAAAAAGTTATTTATTTTAAAGAGGTACGTCTTATGAATGATAAAATTTTTTTCAAGATCATGGAAATCATGTTTTTTTAAATGTCATGCGATATTCAACGAAGATACTGATGTAAATTATCAGTTACGATGAATCTATGCACGCACACATATAAATATGTATAAGTAGTTAATTTTATATAATTCTTATAAACATATTAAATATAATTCTATGTATATTAATTTTATGAAAGTGATATAAATTGAATGAATAATATTAATATATCTTTGACGTCATTATCTGTTTCTTATATTATTATATATTATACTTTATTTTTGTCAGTAATTCAGAAACAAGTTTAGTAACTTTCTATTTTTATTTCATTGTCAGTATTTAAAATATGTTAAAAACATATCGTCAAAACAATATTCATGTTGTCTAAGATATGGAAATTTTCTTTGCAGTTACAATTTGTGTTCTTTCAACGATACCTCTTCAAAAATAACTATTTTCTTTTTTTCTACATTAATTCAATATTTTTGTTGTTAAAAAAGAAAATAAATTTCTAAAAATATTTTTAGAAAGAAATAACTCTCTCTCTCTCTCTCTCTCTCTCTCTCTCTCTCTCTCTCTCGAAAACTAAAAAGGACAGCAAACTCCAAACTCCAAAAGATCCAAATAAAAAGTTTCTGTTTATCAAATTTTCGAAATAAATAAGCTTGAAAAAATCTTTTAAATATTGTTTAAAAAATATAAAAGCTTTGAGAGCAATTTCTATATGAACTTCTTCAAAATTCTTTATCTAAACATTTCAAGATCTCTTATAATATCAAATACTCGGAAATAAAATCTCAAAAAAAATTTATATTTTTTTCAAAAGATTACGTCGATAAGTGAAAAAAAGTGTAAAATTGTCGATTCACTTTCCAATATTAAAAAATTACGTAACGTGAATAAAGCGTAATATAAAATAGTTTTATGACAATATATATATATATATATATATATGTATATAAGTAATTATATAGAAGATAAACGGTAAGAGAAAATGTGCGACTATTACGGCGGAGACGCGTGAATCATGTAGAATGAGATTAATAAAATCATCTAGTCATTGATTAATCACACAAAGCGTATAAATCGAATTGACGAGTCACCTGTTACTCTTACTAGGAAATAATTTTACAGTTATCTATATACAGCGTGTTTCATATGGGAACTATCACATTTTTTAAAACAACTCCAAAAGAGAATCTATAGCGGAAACATGATTTAGTCAAGGATATCTCGCCTCTTGTATTTTCAGAGAAGTTTTTATATTTAAAAAAATTGTTCTTTCCTCAATAGCAAGCATATATACGTTATTTTGACGTCATTTTAATGGCGTCAATTTACTACTTAGGTTATGTTACTAAAATTGGTAAAATGCTTATATAGCTTTGAGGCTATTTGGGTAGGATTATATCTTGATGATCTTCACATAAACTCTTAAATTTGATAAGCACTATATCACATCCAAACTTTATTAATTAAATTGTACATGCTTTAATTTATTATACTGTACAAAAGATGTTTGAAGTCCAGACTCGTCTCTTGTTGCGATATATTAAGTCAATTTATTATGTTATTAATACTTTTTATTTATTATAAGCGTCTTATTCGTGATAAGTATAGCGATGCTGCTATTTTTAACAGGGATAATCCTGCTTCTCGATTGTACTGTCATAAGTCGGATTACGCGACAACTGGATGATAAATTGGCACGGTGCAAAGATTCGGTTAAGAAATTGCGAAATTTTATTCGCAACATTTCTCATTTTAAACGTCCTTCGCACAATTCTCCTAACTCCTGCATTAAATTACACCAACGTTCTGACGTTATACTCGAGAACACGAGAATGCATTTGCAGAATATACGATAATGATGATAGCAACAACACTTTTTTCAATTTTTCTCACAAATTCCTTGCGTCATCATCATTAGTGCTGAAAAACATGAATCGTGAAACAACATTGTTTGCGCAGCCGAGTTGTGTGAACCAAATTTTCTGTTCGTGTCACGTTGCGACGATTTACGTTACCGCAACATTAAGCAGAATCGACTAGCCTAGAACGAAAGAAGGAAACTAAAGGCCATATTACACTACGAATTGGAAACTCAGTTGTAATTGAGATTACAATTGACAGTTGTGGATTGGGTATTTACACTACAGATTAGTTTGTTCTGATTGATCAATCTGCATCCATCATAGCTATAATTTCAATTGCAAGCAAACCTAATAGTGTACAGTCTTTAGTATTCTTCTTTCATTCTAGGTTTATTGGTTTTACTTAGTGTTGCGGCTTACAATCAATTGCAGTTGGAGATTAAGGGTTGACAATTGCAGATTAATCAATTACAGGTTAGTTTGCTCCAATTGATCAATCCATCAATTATAATTCCATTTGCAATCAATTAGCCTGTAGTGTACGGTTTTAGTGTTCCTCTTTTCGTTTTAAGTCTCGTTGATTTTGCTTAGTGTTGCGGCTCACAAGTAATTGCAGTTGGGGATTAAGAGTTGACGATTTATTTATTACATTATAGGTTAGTTTGTGCTGATTAGTCAATTCGCAAGCATGAACTATAATACAGCCTTTAGTTTTCCGCTTTTGTTTTTTAGACTACTCGGTTCAACTTAATGTTGCGGCTCGGTTGTAGTTGAGGTTACGGTGGACGGTTACAGATTGACCAATTACGTTACAGGTTAGTTTGCTCTGATTGGTCAATCCGCAATCGTCAACTGTAATCCCAATTGCAATCGAGTCCGCAACTCCTAAGTGTAATATGGCCTTTAAAACGATTCAGCATTTGTCTCAATTCATTGAGATATCTAGTTTTGACATGAATATTATTTAATAAAGCTAATAGAAATAAATTTAATATTCTTAAATTATCTTAAATTAATGTTACATAAAATGTATTGATATATAGTGTGATCAATAAAAACGAGAAAAACAAGAATTAATATAGCTATAATGATTATTAACATTTTCCGTACATTAGAAAAACAATGATTAATTTTTAAGATTTTCTATTTAGAAAGAATTAGAAACTTTTGGAGATATATGAAGATATATACATATATATTGTATATATGTATATATATATATGAAAGATCTATCTTTAAGAAGAGAAAGAGAGAGAAAGAGAGCTAGCCAACATTTTAAGACGTCACTCTTCAACTTCTATTTTTAATATCGGACATATATCTCCAAAGTCAACTTTTAGCGCATTTGTTCGAATTTTTGGAAATGTTTCAACGATTTTACTCTCTCATCACATTAAAATTAATCAAACGTATATACAATTTTAATTCTTTGTAAAAGTGTTCGGAGATTCTTTAAAATATTATTTGCTTAAATCGATCAGACATATATGTTGATATGTTTTAACAATTTTATAAAATTGATAAGATGTCCTTAAAGTGGAGTTTTATGGACATAAAAGAGGAGATTTTCTTAAATGTTCTTACAATTATATATCGATTTCGGCGAAACGCAACGTAAAGCAAAATGCGAAAAGTTTGCCAACGGCGTCAGCTGACAGCAACCTGTGGGCTGTTTACGACAATGTTGTTACGTCGCGAATGAACAAGTTCCAAATTATCCGTAGACACGACGCAGAACGTCTCGCACAGTCGGAATATTACGCTGATTCACGGAATACATATATTTTCACCATGTATACACAAAGCGTCCGCGCGAAAATCGCACTAAATATATATTATATAAAAATCCGTTGAATCTTTGTGATTTGATCTCTCTCTCTATATAATTTAACTTCTACGATTTTAATTAAATCTAAAAAAAATATTTATACAGTAATTTAAAAATAATTATACAGTATATGTATGGATTATGTTGTCAATAAACTTTTCCCTTATGGAAATTTATTACTAGAAGTCCAAATAATCATTTATTTCGAGTACTTAAATTACTAATATACAAAAATTTTACATTTTTCTAAAAATTAGGAAAACTTCTTTATTTTGGAAAATGTTATTTTGCTATGTTCAAACAAAAATACGAAACAAAAGAATATGTATTTAACAGGCATTGTTTGAGTCTGCGAATTAATGCGAAATGAATCATGATTAGCTTTAAAGAACTCCAGAAATAATTCAATAAAAAGTTGCAGTTTGATTTACATAGAAGATTTAACGATTTTGTAAAGCGAGGATATTCAGCTCTTTTCAACGCATTTTTTGCACTCATTCGAAGATAATATTTAACTTGAAAGAACGACAGATTTATTCTTTCACGATAAAAATGGGGAAAATGTAGCTTGATCTTTACTGAGTAACCCAGCCTCCTTAACCAGATGACTTTGCTCAATCAGTTTATTATTCTCAACTCCTCGCTAACCTTCTCCATTCAAGTTCAAATGATTCTAACGAAATGGCTTATAAATCATTTATATTATTTCCTCAAATGAATACTAACCCTATTAGATTAATTATACTAACAAATCATTTTCTGAAAATTCTTAAATTCTCAAATATTTGGACTTTGAATTTTTAGACTTTAGCACTCTTTATTTTTATATTTAAATTAATTTAATATTTATATATATATATATATATATATATATATATAGTTACTTCAATTTTTATGTATATGTAGATGCTTGGATCTTTGTTTCCTAAAATCTGTGAGTCTTTGAAAATGCTATAATATTTGAAATATTCGGATACAGAATCCCAGACCATGCGTCCAAAATTGACGCATAAGACATCTTTAAACTGCAACATCTTTAAGATGTTTTTAAGATGTCTTTGAGATATCATATCATAAGATTTCTTTTAAAGATGTCTTAAAGAGATTTCTTAATAATGTCTTATGCACCAATTTTGGATTTGGTGTGATCTATGGGATGTCTGGTAAAATATTTGGCAATAATTAATAAAAAATTAATTTGAGTGTAGAAAAACATTTCTCTTTCATTTCAAAAGTATCTTTGTTGCAGATCCACCCACTGACAGTGTCTACATGATATGTGGGGTGCTGATTGCTATGGTTGTGGTCGGCGTCTTAATCGTCCTGCTCGCCGTAACGATTAGGTGAGAAAAGTGCCAATAATTCGATTAGATTTATAATAATTTCTTAGCTACAAATTTTAAAAAATTATACAATATAAAAAAAACAAATATATGATGGTACAGCCTCGTTATCAACGTTAAATATAGTATATTAAGATGCACGCAAAGAAAAATAGGTAGTAAATAAGTGAATAAAAGTGATAACGATTTTAGATTAAGTTACAATCTTCTACTACTACAATATATTCTTCTACTACACGCGACTAGAAAAATAGTGATAAAAATAATTATTTGCAAAGCAAATAAGCATAATTTTCGCTAATTGCGACCATTATTTTTAAACTCACATTGACAAATTAATTATTACTCGCTGAAAATCGCTATTAATCAAAATTAATAGTGTGGTCTCTCTCTCCATCTTTTTATTTTCTCATATATGAATGTTTCAAACTAGCTGTTAAAAAGTGTATGCATAATTTTCTAAAACCAATCTCAAGAAAATTTGAGATAACACAGCAGGTAAAATATAGGGTTAAATATTAAGAACTGCATTAATAACAAAAAGTGGACTTTTCAGTAGATCTTTGACAAAATAAAAAAATATAAGGATATGACGAAAGTATCAATGCCTACTTTTCAGATTGAGTTATAGTATTTTTCGTAAGAACGGTGTTATGTATAAATTGTCTATAAAATAACGATTAAAATCTTCAGTTTCCGCCCTTTTCATCTCAAAATCTTAGGTCATTATCATCCAAGGGTACTTTTGGATGTCCTATATGAATATCTTTTGAACATGGCTCTATTAACGTTGTTAGTTTTGTTGTCTTTTCAGAACTCTGAGATTAATCACTTATTCGGAATATTTTAAACCATTCTTTTGACGGCTTCTCAAATTAATCTTTTCGAGGTATTCCAGAAGCACAATAACGGTCTATGAAATATAGGGATACAGTTCAACACGTGCTGGGGTCATTCACACGTGATGTTCCTCTTTTATGAAAGAGACCTACGATTTAAATTCAAAAGTAGGCACCGATTTTTCCAAGGACCCATTCAAAAATCCGCATTATTATTAATGCAGTTCTTATTATTTAGCCTTATATTATTTTTGTGCCAAGTTTCATCAAGATCAATTTTGCTAGAAAAAATAAACACTTATTTTGCATCCTTTTATTAATAATTCAATTAATCGAATCGCCTAATTAATTAAATAATTTAAATTTATAAATTTTTATTGTTCAGAGCAAATTATACAAATTATACATTGTGCAATTGCTATAATCTAAATAGTGTATCGCATGAGTATTTGTGTCTGTTACACTGACGTAAATATATATTTATTCCTATTTATAATTAATCTTAAAAAAACGGAGCTACATCCAGATAACAATTGACGTCATAATGACATCATTTAAAGGTCATTTCTCGTCATATAACATCAGTCGACTAAATATAATGACATAATAATTTACACGTATTTAATAAACACGTGTTTTAATGATATGTCAAATGAAAATAAATGTATTTAAAAAAAAAATTAAAAACAGAGATAGAGATGAAAGAAAAAAACAAGAGCTCGAAACTCGAGAGCGTCTATCTATCTCCGTCTATCCGGTAGTGTCACAAGGTATCAAGACGCGTGGCTGAAAACGGCAAAACGGACATACGTCTGGTGTGCGTTAGACAGAAATAGAGATAACAGCGATGTACCATGCGTGAGTGTGTGCGTGGCGTAGTTTCCCTTTCAGATGTGTCTTTCCCAGAACGCTCTTGCGCACCCATGCGCGCGCGTCATCACAAGGTATCGTCAAGACGCTGTTTTTCCTTCATTAATATATCAAAGCAGCGTCATTCTTTCTTAAGAATAATATTTTGCTTAGAAAGGATTCAAAATAAATTCTCATAAATTCTAAATTGTAAATAAAAATAAATTGTATATAATTATTTTACAAGATATTTTACATTTTATGTCAAAAAAAAATGTTAACTTTAAATCAAAAAATACTTAAGAGAAAAATACTTTATTATAGTGTTGCGGAAAGTTCTCAAGATAAGCTACAAAAATATGTAATGAAAAATAGTAGCTTCCATTTAAGAAATTAAAATTGACCTTCACGTGACCTTCAAATGATTATACAAGGTCAAATTAATGATATCATCTTATGTTCCTCTCGATGTCAAAAAACTTTTGTTTGAAACATTTTTTCGTATCTCTCATAATTTTCGAAATATTTGCCTAAGGCGATTAAAATTAATATGTATATTGAAACAATGTTTGAAAGAGTTTTAGGATTTTATGTATGAAGAAGTTTTATAATTAATATAAAACAGTTTTGTTCTCCCTCTCTCTCTCTCTCTCTCTCTCTCTCTCTCTCCAACTGGAAGTGGTTCTGAGATTTGAAAATAATCTTTATCTTTTTCAATAGAACTGTAATTTCTTTTAACAGATATTGACTCTCATAATTAACTCATTTTTTCATTAAAATATTTATTCAATTTTTTATAGAATATGATGAATCGATTGGTAATTATATTTTTGCATAAATATTATTATACAAACACACACATAAAATTGCATTTGCAAGATGCAACTGCATTTTTTTAAACATAATTACATATTTCTTACATCAATGAATTTTCTTCATATTTCTAACATGTTTTAATATTAAAATAAAGTTAATAGAAAATGTTTATAAAATATTAAGTTAATGTATATTTCTTCATATTTCGGAAACATTCAAATGTATTGATTATAAAATGAGATATCTTATTTCATATATAGCAATAAATTTTTAACTAATTTTTTTGTATTACACGTGCAGGCAAAGTGGCACTTTGTGTGCGTGTTTTCTGTGCAGAAAGCGGCCGATTTCCCACGCCGCAAGATGGCGGCCACCTTGCGCACAGAAAACGCGCACAAAGCCACTTTGCCTGCACTTGTAATACAAAATAGTATGTGTATCACGTGCGGATTGACAATTGTTCACTCGTGTGGAGTGGTCGCACTCGCCTTTGGCTCGTGCGTCCATCCTCCGCACTCGTGACCAATTGTCAACTTTCTGCACTTGATATACAATATACTATATCTTTGACTTAAAGATATTGAAAAACACAATATAAGCAGTTCAATATTTTGTTTACGAATCAACTGACAAATGAAGAAATGAAACTTCTCGCATTTATATATAATGTTGTTGAAAAGACAACAGTATATAATAGCTGCACTTTTTCTGATGAGAAAGACAAAATCTAAATTTTGTAATTTTTTCGATGAAGCTCAATGTTTCTTCATATCGTTGACTGTTTTGCGCTAAATCCGACCATAGCTTACATGATTCACATATATTATCTCGTATTTGTGTGAAAGACATTGATAACCGATTAATATATAGATTCTCGTATCTGCATCTCGGATAGTCGGCGAAAAATCATCTTGAGTAACTGATTCAGAGAATCAATCTCCTATATCGTCATGTGTAAGAATAGATTTTAAATATGTAGAGATTGCCCAGATTAAATAGAAGTGTTGATAATTTTCTTTTTTCTATGTCTATATTTAATTCAATATATCTTAAAAGAGTCTGAGAATAATTTATATTTTTTACTTTACACATCTATTTTTATTTTATCGTACTGTTTCATTTATAGTAATATATTAGATTGTTTTGTAACTGATTCAATATGCTATATATAAAGATATTTTTTTGTTTTATTTTTTTCCGATATACACATACATATACACTTAACGTAATTTAATTTGAGTATTTATGTGACGGCAAAAACACATATACTGTCAGTATATAACTTAGAGATGAGGACCTTGCTATTATTGTTAGATCAGCGTAAACTTCGCTGCGCGAATAACACCGAGAAGCTGTTTGTGTATTGTGAAGTAATAAAAGCGTTCTTATATAGTTGCTGTTGCATAATCATGGATATAAAATTATTTTAAAAAATATTATTTCTTATTGCGATCCGATAAGAGATTCGTGCAAAGAAAAAATCCCCTTCGTAATTATCTTATTTTTCTTGATTGTTAATTTGATCAAATTAATTTAAATGCGTGTGTAAGTGTATGCGTTTGTGTATATGATTTGGCTAGTTTTATTTTAAATGTTTAAATTAATTTTAATCCAATCTATTTTAACATTTTGACATAATTTATTAACTTTATATAATTTATTTCTTTCTTTTGTCTTGATAAAATTTAATCTAATAAATTATAAAATTAATTTTTGTTTAATTTAATTTAGTTATTATTTTAATTAATTATTTAATTTAATTTATTTATTATTTTAATTTTTTTTAAATTAAATTAGATACGTTTCTCTCATAATTAATTAAATTGAAAATATTATAATTTACACTACATATTTTTATCTCTTTCTCTCGTTCTCTTACTCTATATATATATAATTGGATTTAATTTGAATTAATTAAAGATAATTTTAGCTCATTGTCAGTCAGTCTTTATATTTAATTTAGCATAAAATTAAATGTGAAGACGCATATAAATCACGCATATAAATATTAAATAATCAACAAAATCAGATTTTAATCTACAATTCAAAACCTATACATTAAGAAATTGTCTTTTTTTTATTTATTTTTTTTTTTTTTAATAAAAAGCATTAATATGAATGACGAACAAAAGACCTTTATTAAAATGCGTGAATTTTTTGTCAGAATCTGCATATTAAATATATTTTAACTAAAATAGTCGCTAATAAAATTGCAATATCGCAATAACGTATACAATACGCCATAAACAAAACGATTGATTGCGAGTAAAAGTGATGCGTTTCCGAAGCTTGGTGAAACGAAAGGCTGTGCACAACCCATCGTCATTCGCGATTACGCATCAAGATTATGTGACGTAAAGATGCAAGTCCACTATACGGTCAGCTCTTCGTCGCGCGACCGGCGCGACAACTATGACGACGCACGCGAAATATGTATATGGTAAAGCGACGAGACGGTCGAGGGATAAAGGGAGCAAACGCCGTGAGTATACCGTTTGAATTTCTTTGGAATCCCGATTGGCCGTTCGATTGAACACGCACCAATCGCGATCGCGTCCCGAGCGTGACGTCATGGAGCCATATAAGAGACAGGCACGCGTCGTTTTCCGATTCAGATGCGCGCTAGCGAGCTTCGGGCAATGAGCGAAGGAAGGTAACGCGCGGAGTCTACGCGTCGTTACCGCGGTACTCCTCCAGCAGTTGAGAGAGACGACGCCGTGTGGTACCGTTCCTCTTCGATTCCACGTATATTCACACGTGCGCGTAATATAAGGGGGAAAAAAGGATTGAAGTATCCTTCCGGATGATCGAGTGCCAAGGATTCAGAAACCTAGTCAGTGCGAGTATCGCGCAAGTGTAAATAGTGTGATATCCTTGTCGTTTGGTGAAGCGGAAGGTCGAGAAAAAGAGCGTTGCATAAGTGCATTGGTAATAAAGGTTACTTGAGAACAAGACGCGGAAGTAGGAAATAGCGCGTGGAGAAGAATAATTTAGAAAAAAATCTTGCTGCGTTCCTAAAATTCTGACGGATAGAAAAAGAGAGAGAGATAGATATAGATAAACAGAGACGGAGAGAGAAAAACTTCAAGGTAAAAATCTGCATTTATCTATGAGAAAAACATGAATGCGAAAGTATCGGAGAGAAAGAAGGTCGCACAGCATTCCTAAACTTTGAAATCAGCCGCAGAGAGCCATATCAAAGAGAATAAAAACTGAGAAGATTCGTTTTCCGAACGACTTGGCTAATTTTATAATGACAGCTCCGCGTGCTATGTCCAGTGTAAAAACATAAGAGAGAGAGAGAGAGAGAGAGAGAAAGATACGATAGACTGAGAGGCACGAAGCATTGACGCACACGTTTCTCGTTCCTAAGAATTTCCGAATCATTCATCAGAGAAAACCCAGAGCGCATCTTGAAAATCCTTAGCAATTTGAATTATAGAACTTGACTATACTTCGCAGAAGTCTGTCGCGATACGTATAAGAGTTCTAAGTTTGCAATTTTTCTAAGAATTTAATCTCGTCTTAAAAAAATAAACCTCTTATCTTAAAAACTCAATTTCCCCTTAGAGAAGATTATAGGAAAAAATGTCCAAGATCCGGACTTAAAATAAACGATCGATTTTTTTATCTTTTCCCAATTTCGGAGTTTCTACAACTTTGATCCTCCGAACTCTGGGAATTCGTTTACTCTGGAGAAGCTTCCGGTTTCGCAAACACAATTGCGAGAATAGGTTAAAATTTGCGAGGCTGTACCAGAAATATATAGGAAAGATGGTCGGCAGCAATGGAACCATGATCGCAATCCGCCTTGTCCGCAGCAAGCTGCGGAAACGCGAGGATCATTCGAGTACGGATGCAGTGCACCCTGAAGCGACGGTAGTGCAGACAGCGACCTCGCCTGCGACAATTGGAACGGCGCCGGCACACCCCGACGATTGCTGCACCCAGATATCCACAACCACTATATCGACCGATCTCAACAACAGTGTTTGCAATGAACACGTCTATGCTGCGACAACGGTGACGCCGTCCGCCAATCCCGTCGAGTCGTTCGCGTGGCAATTCCCGCCCCCGTATCCACCCCCCCACATGCCGCAATACACGTTGTACAACGATCAGGTTGGTGCACCTTGTATATCTTATGTATTTTATACCCGCGGTTCACGGTTCTCAACCCTGTTTGCATTTATCAAATCCTGTGAAAATCTATATAAATCTTAATTATTATTATGATTATTGGTCACCAAAATTTCAAGTAATCCACCTCTTAAATTTTTTATGCACGCCATTATCCGATTATGTAATATTATTTAACTTTATTTTGAACAATTGTCAATTCTGATTGCATTTATATCAATTTTTAGGATGTTTCCACTGTATTTTTGAAAAGGACCACAGCCCGTATGGTCGAAACGTTAAAATAAATATATATTAACAACTTTAATTTGTAACCAGTGTCGTCAGTTCAATATTTATAACCTTAATTGTGTCAAACTGTTTACCCCCGCGACAGCTGCTCTATGCTATGAATATATAACACACAACGTTAATAGAAAAGCCAATCAGCATTGCGGAAAAGCAACAACAATGTCAATAACATGCCATTTTTAGAAAGGAAAAATAAGGATTATTTTATTTTGAACAACTGTTAAACTGTTAACCCTCGCGTTAGCTGCTCGATGCTATGAATATACAGGGTGTTTCACAAATCGAGGTAAATTGCTCGAGAGATAAATGGGGAACCAAAAAATAAGAAAGAAAGTTGATACTGACATAGATCCGGAAATGCGTTGTTTTCGAAGTGTGGAGGTGTGGGACGAATTGTGGAGTCCTAATCTCTAACTAAGGGATACTAATTGTAAGCGGTCTGTATCAGAGCGGTCAATTATGCCTTTTTAAGAAAGGAAGATTATGGTCAAATTCTTCCTACACAATAGGAAGTGTTCCAATACACACGTCACAATAGGAGTTTCTCTCTAATATAACCTTTTCTACTTATAAAATACCTGTTTATGGCTCATTGGATCTAACAATGTAACTAACCAGCAATCAAAATAAGAAAAAAAAAGGTTCTTAATTCTTGTTTCTGACAAAAAAAATGAATAGAATGTGGCTCTAGACACGTATGAATTTTTTTTATTAATCTAACATAATATTAATTTTAATATACTGAAGATGATCCAAAAGAAAGGATTGAAACGTTCAAAAAATAATTATAGAGGAATTTAAAGACTTTTATTGCTTCTAATATCTGCATTTGGCTCTTATTAATATTTTCATATCTGGTTTTGTAGTTACATCAGAGACTTTTCAATTTATTTTTGTAATTTCCAATTTTTTATGAAGAATAATATTTATATGTTTTTAAAAATACAACAAACATTGGAAACTTAGTTGCTACTTATAAATTGATATATTTAAATTATTTTAATTTATACATTTTTTCTTCCTAGATAAATTTGTCATGTTTTAAATTATACTATCTTTAATTGTATACATTATAGTCTCTTAAATAACAGGAAAGTTTTTTTATATAATTTTTTGATAAATATGAAATAAGAGAATTCAGAATAATAATCTAACCCAAACTAATGGAAAAATATCAAATCTTTAATTGTTTATTTAGATATTCAAATATCTTTTGTTTTTTTTGTTGTAATCTTGTAACATATTGTAATTATATAAATACTGAGTTCAGATTTCATTAGAACAAGGTTAAATAAATTTAATTTTTAATTTAATTTTCAATTTTAATACCATAAAAATAAAAAGATGAAAACAGTATTCTTATATTTATTCATATATAACAATAGAAAGCTTTAAAATTTGAATGTACCAAAATTATATTAGTATTAATATTTTAAAATTGTCGTGAAATTGATTATATATAAATGTAGAAAATATAATAGATAAGATATATATATATATGGTCTTTTATACATTCTTATATACAATTATATGCTAAAATTATTTTAATATATTTTTATTTTTTTTGCGAGATATAACAATAAAAGATTTCATTTTAAAGTACCTTCTGTATTTTAAGCCATTTACGCAGTAAGATTAACTTAGGTCAGTAGCATTAACTTTGAACATAGTGTGTATATCATCTCAGTGGTTCTCAAATTCTGGAAATTTCTTTCATCAATTCTTTTCAAAGTATCTATATATTTATTGATGTTATAATTATTTGCTTAAAAGTAAAACACAATACAATAAAGGAAGGAAAATCTAATTTTTTCAAATTTCTAAGTTTTTTAATTTATCTAAAAACATCGAGATTTTTTAAACGTTTCTAAATTCTTTAATTCGATTGTTTTACTGGATCGCTAATCATAAATGCAGAAAACTATGATATCAAAACGGATATAGACAGCAGTTGATCATTCTTTCTCGCGATCTATCAGTTGATCTAACCGTCGCAACGGCTAACCGACTAACCGGTGGAGCCAGTATTACCAGATTTTACTGGTTTGTCCCTGCTATACTGTTCAATGACTCGAGCACATGCGATGTCGATTGGAGATATCCAAAAAAGATTCACAAGTGTAGAAAGTTGTACGAATGCAGTCGCAGCTGAAATTCTGTAAGGGCGACTTTCTTACTATTCTTACGACAAAGACAATAATGTGTGTGTCTTACAAACTTTTTTATGCGTGCATCGATGTCGATGTCCTAACTTTACAAAACTTTGATTCTCATTAGTATATATTAAATTTTAATCTTCAATTTTAAATGAAGTTAGAGCATTATTAACTTGAAATTAATTGAAATATAAATTTTGCAACAATTGTATATATATATATATATATATATATATATATAATATATTTTTGTGACTTTATACCAAAAGTTTGATTTAAATTTTTTCTGAAAAAGAATTAGTAACACAAACTTGTATAAAATATATTTTACCTATTAATTTCAATTTTTTCTTATACATATCCTTTATAATACTAAAAATAGAAGTCCGTTCTTCAATCGATAGTCGGAACAGTGACCTGCGGCCATCATAGTTTCATGCTAACATTGTAGACGATCGATTATTCCCGCCGTTCAAGCCGCGATCGCTGATTGGTTGCAGAGTGCCGTTTACTATTTTAACTAAACATAACCTAACCTAATCTAACCTGACGTAGAAAAGCCGATTCGATCGCGACGAATAGAACGACATTGTTTTTTTTAAATAATCTATTCGTTTCTTTTGCTGTTATATTATATTACGTAAAAAATAACAAAATATAAAAATCTTTTTTAGAGCTTTTCCTCATTGCACAAGCTGTCACGTAATTTATTAATTCTGCAATGAGAAAATTTAAATGCATGTAGAGTTAGATTAGATAAATTAATTTAGAAACGAAAAATTAAAACAGTAACTTTATTTAGACTAGAAGTTCTTAATTACGGGAGAATTTTAGAGTTTTAGAGAAACAGTTCTAAAATTTTACAATATTTTGACATTCTACTGAATTTTTTGTTCATTAAAATAAAATTGATAACAAAAGTAATGCATAAATGTATATGTGCTAAAGAATAAATAAAATATTTTCAATTCCATATGGCATATGCATATTACATACTTTTGAGTCAATATTGAGGGAGAGAGGGAGAAATGAGATGAAAGAGGTGCAAAAAAGGTTGAGAATCACTAATTAGACACTTGAAATAATCGTCAAATTTCAGGAAAATAATCTTATTATATTAACACAATGCGATCTTATTATTTAATAACAAGTCTGATAACACTATACTGTATCATTAAGTTCTCAGTAATAACTGTAATTGATCTTACGTTGTTTCGTGATAAAATTATTTCATTAGATATAATAAAAAACGATAAAACGTATCTATAAATACATAGGTGAAATGGGTGCAACTCTTGACGCTTCTCCGACCTGACGCTAAATTTAGCGTCGTCGGTGGGCGTCTATATAAGTATCCCCGCTTACCAGCCGAGTCCCGAATAGGCTGCAGCTGTCGAGACATTCTTCACTTCTTGAAAAAATATTCTCCGTTTGCGATATTGGCAGGATAGAATCGTCGCAATTTTAGCTATAATGCAAATTAGATGATTGCAAACAGGGTGTCCACTATCCTTTGAAAAACTTTTCCAAAGATTTTTCTTTACCTTAAAAGGTCCGGGAATTCTATTGAAACATAAAGAATTCTTTTTAAAAATTGGGTCTCTGACATTATATTTCAACCTGAAAGATCAGGAAATACCCAGGGAATCTTTTTTACAAGATTTGAATACAGACACTCTATTTAAGCGACACAATTAACTATTACAATCACTAAATATTTAATCTTATAATCTATCAAGAAATACAAAAGAGAAAGACTTTTAGCAAAGTTTGCATTTGAAGAAATTTTAAATAGATAACGAAATCTTTCATCCTTCGTTCAATTTTAGTTGAATCTTATTTAAACTTGATGAATTTTTTTCTTTTAAAATACGTATCGTTTTATTCAAGATATGATAAAAAAGTATAACTAACTACAACAGATACATAAAATTAAAATTTTACATAACGAGATGTCGCAAAACATATACCTATGTGCCTTAGTTTAAATTTATAATTGACACAAGATCAAATTTTTAATGGAGTAATATTATGCCAGTTTCAACAAAGATATAATATGATACATAATAATTAACTGTATATATTTAATATAAACATTTTAAAAACAATAAAAATATACTACTTAATAACTTTTTTTTTAGTTTTTAAAAAGAAGAATATATATATTTTGTTCTATTTTTCAAATATTATACATTTATGTTTAAATATCTTGAACATATGATATGACTGATAATATGACATACTTTATATAGAGTATGTCCTAGATCTATCATATAACCTATTCGTCGCAGATTCCTGAGATCATTTTGGAAACGATTTTTCCTCAGCGAAAATATTGAGATACCAAAGTTTTGAGTTATAAACGGTTGAAAATAAATTCTTCACAAACTAAGCCTTGTGGAAATAAAATATTATATTAATAAAATTACATACGTCAGTTAATTTTAAGTAGAATTCATTTTAATAGCATTTTAATTTAAAGTTTAGTTACAAAAAGATATATGATGGCAAAAATTGCGAACATGCAAAAAATGATGGCCTCCTTGCATCCCATATATGTATTGATCAGTTTATAATAAAGATTAATGGCACAAATATAAAACGGGATCTTTTTTTCGGTTTTACAGGATACTCTTGTACACGCCTTGCCATCGCATCGGCCTGGATTCGCGAAGGGCTTCCGCAAGAACCTGGGCGGGCGCTGGCGTCGATTGGTGAAACGGAAAACCGAGTCGGATACCTGTGCCATTCCCCCCGAACTGAAAGATCAGCTGAAGACCATCTACGTTTATTAAGAACCGAAAGCCTGTTCTGAGAGAGTCTCTAACAATTATCAATAAAAAAGAAAATCTATCAAAACACGTAAAAAAAAAAAGATTGATAAAAACAAGAGACTCTAGTCAAAAAAAGAAAACATGTGAAAGAGATTGACAGAATCGAAAGAAGAAGAATATGATAAGGAATTGATGTATGCTAAGACAAGAGTGATAAAAACACGAGTTCGAACAAAATCCATCTGGAGTTAGAAAAAAGGATTGAAGAGACATGTTCAGGGAATGAACAGAGTACAGGGGTCGGAATTTAATTGATATAGCTGACATATCAGAAAGTGCCTGAAGAAGATGCCTGAACGAAGTGCCTTCTTTTATTCCACGAGCGCCTTTCTCACGAGACTGATATACCGCGAAGAAACCGCGATTACATGGGTGCGACAAAGCGAGTTATCTCGTAGCTTCTGCCTTGTACGTTTCTGCGCACTTAATATAGTCGATAGATCGCCGTATTTCGGATAATTAACTAGTATTAGTACGTCGGCTTGATTTACGGAAGATACGAGTCAGTCAGCCTGCGATCGATTATTCAGCGAATTTTTTCCCCTATTTCTACATACTTCTTCAACAAACTTGACTTGTAAAGCCGTAATCATACTACGGGTTAGGATTGAGATTGTGGATTGAGAAATATCAATCAGAATAAAGGAACCCCATCTCAAGTTTAGTGAACTTTGCTTACGACTTATGGATTATTCTACAATAGGTTGCAAATGCCAATTAACAGTTGCAGATTGATCAATTAGAGCAAAAGAACTTGTCAGCTGATTGGTCAATCCGCAACTGGCAACTGAGCCATTTATAACCTATTGTGGAATTATTACTCTAAATCTATATTCTTGGTCAGTCCCGAATCGAATCTCGATTTACAGTTTCCAGTAGGTCTAGAAATCGCGCGATCCCGAGAGGAAATTTAATCGTAAAACTTTAAGTATTATTTATTAAGAGGAACAGTAGTTATATAATTTTCCTAAAGTGCAAACTAGTCGTATGTGATGGATGAGAAGACGCAGCTGCTGTGTGTCATCGTGCGTTATATATATATTATTCTCTTTTTCTGATGAAACAACACAACGAAACCAGCAACAATCCGTTCTTTATCCAATTTATGGGTATAGGTAGAGTTAAAGTGGATCAAAGATATATTTTAGAAAGTTTTTTTTTTAATACGATTTCGTGTAAAGTGAAATTTACAAATAGAATAGACTTGATCCATTTTAGCTTTATCCCGTGAATTTCCTTTTGGGCTTGGGTTGATTTTAAATCTACCTTGTACAAACAAAATCGATCGTTCGCTTGCTTGCTCCCATAACTAATTTTCGTAGCCGCTGACCTAAACATGTATAAATAAAATGTAGCGATTTTTTTTTGGATGTCTGCGGGATTGATTTAATCAACGAATGGACTTTGGTATTTCTAAAATCCTTGTAGGGAAACCTGAAGGGCATTTTAGGATTCAGAATCCAAAAGTTCCTCCCGCTTAGAACAGAATACGGCATAATATAATAAGATAGGCCAATTTATAAGATTGAGAGTCGATTATTACGACGGCTCATATTGAGCTCGCATTATTGTAAATTGTAACGCTGACGTGATATTTCATTTGTATGCTCGTGTTAGCCCTTTAATCGTTTTTTTAATCACAATTTAATATGTATTCGATGAATAAAGCATTCTAATAAATATGCTATTTAAAAATTATATTAACACAATAATGTTTAAGAATTATCATATAATTAGAAAAGAAATCGCGAAAATTGTTTATGTAATGAATTAATTGGACAATGTTTTTCCATATTAATCTTTTAACAACATATTTATATATATGTAATTTCTGTAATATTTTAAAAAGTTTAGCGCATAATGAAAATTATACATTTTATAAAACAGTTTTTTATTTAATAAGTGAATTGAATATAATTTTAATGATGATTGAATTGTCGATTGAAGGGTTGAACTATGTAGTGATGCCATGAAAGTTTTTTGTGTCAGCGATTAATTAATTTATAGTGATTGACGGAGATGATATTTGATCGTTCGAGAAGTTCTGCAGATTTGAAGTTATTATAAAACTACTATTTAAAAATATGAATATTTTTATAATTTTGTTGAAAAAAATGGAAGAAATATTGAGAAATCTTTTATATTATAAAAATTGATGAAATTTTATCTTGAAAATTATTTATGTATAAAAAATATTCTACATTACAAGCTACTTAAAATTATTTATATAAATTTTGATAGATTTATATAAATTCGCATATATATGATCGTGATTATTTTAATTGTTTTCCATTATTTAATATTATACAAGATGTCCCATTTTATATAACATTTTATATAACATATTGTTATTTTTCGAAAATTAAAATTTCTATCAAAAAATATTTCATACAAAAATTGAAGGTTTTGAGGGTCGTAAGTTTTATTTTAAGGAAAGGCATTTTGGAGATCACCATTATTTTTTTAAATGGAATCACTATTATATATAATTTCTTACATAAATCGATTCTTTGTAATATTTATCGTTAAAAATTTTTAGAGTGAAATACTCAAAAATTGAATGGTTTATGAAATATTCTTTTATTCATACTAACATGTTGACAAAAGATGTGAAGTATCTCGTAAGCTCATTTTTCGATAATCACCCTAATAATTTTTTTTTTATAATGAGATAAATCGATTGATGTAAGAAAACCATGCTTTTGTAATTAAAAAATAATTGCAATGTATGACTGCATTTTTTAAGAAATATATTTTTTAATTAATATAAATAATAAGATATAGGACTATAGGAATAAGACTATGCTTACAAGATGGAATTCCCCTCGAAATCCTACAATTTTTGTACAAAAAATAGCAATGTGCATAAATACTTTGTACAGATCATTAATTTTGGCATTTTTATTATTTTTTTATATATTTTGATATTGTTGTGAATAAGATATCTATATTTTCTTGTTAATTTTTGCAAAAATTCGCAGTACTTCGCGAATGATCGAAAAATCCAGAGAATCATAATTTTCGTTATTATGTTGCAGAATGTAAATAGGATAATGAGAAATCTATCGATTTTCAGAGAGAGAATTACTTTTACGAGCGTAATCGATGAGATTTCTCTTGCAACGGTGATTTAATGAGATGCTGTATTGATGACTCGCGACTTCAATTGTTTAAGTATTACAAAAATATGAGAAAAAAATTATAAAATAGAAATTCTTTTTTACACAAAATGTTTAACTGATTCTATATTGTGTATTATAAGTAGTGTTACGATAAATCAATGATTAATGAAATAGTAAATCTTTACTAGCCAAAGCTAGGTAATTAAAGTGATCAATTGTCGAATACACATTTCAATTTTTGCACAAATATAATAATTTGAATCAAAAGTGCCGTAAAACATATCGATCCAAATATTTTAATATTATAATTTTTTCCACCTTTAAAATAAATATATGAGATTTATCCGAGCATAAAATTGATAAAATGTTAAGATATTGATACAAAAAATTGTATGTTAAATAAAAACTTTAACAATATATAAAAAAAAGAAATACGTCATCAATACAAGTCGCGATGTCATAAATAAAAATGTATGATGTTGTGAATGTGAATATATCGAATATCAATAACGCACCTGATTGTACAGTGATATTGTACAGCACGCCGTTTTTGTTCTTTATTCTCCGTCTTTTTGTAAATAATCAGTATATCAAGATGGGAACTGCGAGTTCCTGTCGCCTAGTCACTCATTCGATTAATATTTCGTTGAAATGTTGTAGTTGTAACAATAAAAACCAATAATCAGTGCAGCTTTCTCTCTTCTGTCATCTGAATTCAAATAAGAAAAATAAAAAGATGTTACAAATAAAAAAATTAAGTTATTATTCAACTTTAGTATATATATATATATATATATATATATATATATATATATATTTCAAAATTTTTATATTTTGTTTTCCTGCTCCTTTATCGATTCCTTGATTCTATCTTTAAAGTTGTAGACTGATTAATATTTAATAATAAATCCAAAATAAAAATCTAAATAAGAAAAAACAATAATATATATATATTTTATAATAATATATAATTATAATATTGTATATATATATTTATACAATATTTTATATATAATAGCTAGTAAAATTATATAAATTTATCACTATAATAAGTCCAATTAAATAATATACAGTAATTTAACCCTCATAGAAATTTATCACTAATAATTATAGTAATTATTTGGACTTAGCTAGTGATAAATTTTCATAAAGGCGCTTATAATAATCATGATAAATTTCAAAATAAAATTTTATTATTATATATAATTTTCTGTAGATGTATATATATATATATATATATTCTGTCATCGAAAATATATACAATAAATAGATCTTGTTATTTGCGGAGATAATTTTTCCTCAGCAAAAATATTGAGGCATCAATAATTTTTGATATATATACATTGGATATAAATTTAATTTTCTATATTTTCTATATTATATATATATATATATATATATATATTATAAGAATAAAAAAATATTTGTTCATTAATAATACAAGTGAAAATCTATCGAATATATTAAAGTTGATCACATGTTAAAATGTTAAAAATGACGTTCATTCGCGCATGCGCGCGAAAGGAGCGACGCTCGATTGTCGACGTCGTCAATTGGTCAGTTTAACACGGAGTCTTTTGATTAGTCGATTCGGTAAAAAAAATTCCAAACGTCAATGTGCTAGTGTCGCTGCGGATTTCGAGGTTCGAATTAAGGTTAGATTTTAGATTATTCGAAAGATTCCGGCGTGCATTTTCGCAAGGCGTGTTAAAGATTTTTCGAAAGAAAATAATAATTTCATGAAAAGCGATAAAGATGAACGCCACGAAGATGGAAAACGATCCTGTAGTCAAAGAGGTCAGTATATTTCGTAAATTAGTTTATCTTATTTTTTCAATCTCTTTTGACATTATATGCGATAACAGAGATCATCAAATCTACGTGCATAATATTCTTAAAGATATTTATTGTACATGTCTTTTATATGACATATTTTATTGCATATTTAATCTTTTCTTATTTCTTATTGTTTACGTTTTATTCTATTCATAATATTCCTAAAGATATTTATTGTACATATCTTTTATATGACATATTTTATTGCATATTTAATCTGTCTTCTTTCTTTCTTATTTTTTTTACTTCTTCTTTTTACGTTCTATTGTCTACGACGTAGCATTGTTTACTTTGTTTATTTCTCATTCTCATCTTTATTCTGATTAATTTTTTTGTCTTGACGTGCTTATTGCATGAGACATTATGCATCTAAATTTTAATAAAAATGTGTTAATAATAGAAGCAATTATTTTCAGATACCTGTGTTCCTGTCGAAGACTCTGGGGGATAAACTGTTTCTTGTGCAGTATCCTGCGTATGTCACTGATGGCTACGCCAATGCTAGCATCCTGAAATCCTCTATCAAGCCTGAAAATAAGAAGATCAATATGGAGTTTGCGATAGATACGTTGAATGAACAATCTTATGATAACAGCATGGGGAAACAATTGGCTCTCATCGCTGACAAATCTAAAAAAGACGAAGATAAAATATTTAACAGGTATTTAACTCAGGATTGAAGATTTCAATTAACTGGTGGAAGGAGAGTTCATAGTTGTGAAAAAGAAAGTTATTAGTAATTTTTTTCACTTTTCTAAAACTAAAAAGCAAATGTAATAAACTACTTACTGTTTAAAATTGAAGGAAATTTTTTTGTTATAAATTTAAAAAGATAATGATAAATTATACATGTGAGAAATTAAAGCGTTTTTAAAATTTGTTATATCTATATTTAAAAAAAATTAATTGGCTACTTTTACGTAAAAATATAATTTAATATTTTTTAATGATATTTTAAAGCTGTACTTGATAGATTGAGAAACTGATAGAGTTTAATATACATCTAAATAAATTGTATTAATTTTAAATTTACTAAAATTAGTTTTTTTTTTTTAGTGAATTGATGGACAAAATTGTATTGACTTCGGAACGAACAATGTCCGAGTGCGCGAATTTTGCAATTGGAGTCTTTCAGGATGATGAGCTGCATATCACACCATTGAATGGGATGCTTCATATGAAATTACAATGCGATTACCTAGATGAGATCGAAAAGAAAGGCAAAGATGGAGCAAAAGGTACAGGAGAAGGTAAATAAAAATCAGTCTCTGTGAATTCTTATACTAGAATTTATATATCTAGATAATCTGTGTTAAATCTTCAAAATTGAGGTACAAATAAGAAATATGAATATAAATTTAATAAATTTATTTTTGTTAAAAAATAGATGGTGATAAGGACGAGGACGAAATGCCAGTACAAGTGACATTCGCCAAACATCTGCCAGATAATCTGAAAAGAATGCAAGAACAGTCTTTTCAACATCACACCAAGAGGAGTCAGGAGGAGCCTTGGATACACACGAATTATATACCATTTTATGATACGCAAACTGAGGTAAATATTGATGCACATTATAATATATTGATATACTTTTATACATTAACAAAGACATGTCTTTTTAATTTATAAAAATTTAGTAAATGATGTATAGCATAAAGAAATAAATGACACACATGTAAAATTTTAGTATACAAGAAATTAATACATCAATTACTACTATGCTTAAATTTTGTAAAATGTGTCTTTATTTATATTAATTTTTTTTTAGATAATACCAAAATTGTATTTTCATTTATGAAAGCAAGTTTGTTTAATTTTACATTTAAATTTTTTGACACATTTTTTTTTTTTTTTTTTTTTTTTTTTTTTTTTTTTTTTTTGACACGGATGGAGATGTTTTGTCCATCAGCAGACGAGTCTGTAAACCTGAATTTAGTGCCAAAGAATTATCTGTCTGTATTGGTACCTGAGGAATGTAACTCGCGAGAGTATGATAATCAGACAGATTTTCACACCATCACAAACTTGCCTTTGCTGGACCAACTCAGGATAATCATGAGACATGGTGAGGAAAACACCTCTTTCTCTTTTCCTATCAAATTTGAAGAGAAGAGAATAAAATATACTTCCTTTTAAATGAAGAAATATTTTGAAGGGAGCAACTCAAACACCTTTTTACATAAAAAATATATATATTTAGTATAATTTTTTAAATAATTACTAATATATTGTGTGAATATAATTTTTAACACTTTATTCCAGTAAAACTATTATTTTTTAATTAATAAGTAGATTTTTAAGTCGTACAAAAATTTGATAGAATAAGACGAGTTGGTTTCTTCTTTTGCAGTAAAATTATAGCCTTCGCAGCGTTATGCGAGTTTCTATCGTCGGAACATGATCCGAGGACAGTACTGAAATATATGCAGCAAGTGGCTGTGCTGGTGCAGGGTAACTGGGTTGTGAACAGCGAACTGATCTACCCTAAGGACAGCCTTTCTACGCAAAGTGGTCTCTCCGAGCTCATGTGCAAAGCTCGCGATTACGTCGTGAGTTATCTAAGAACAGTAGATTATTGCGTTGAATGAAGTGCAATTGAGACTTCAAGAGGAGAAAAGATTAATTATACGTATTTTGCAGTTATTATTATTTACGGAGCACCAGTATCTCAAGCGCAACGCCGTCTTATCTTTTATCAAGCTGCCATCAGATGAAATCAATCAAATCTTTATGGAAATCGGGACGTACGAGCCGAAGAAGGGTTGGCGATTGAAACAACCACCTAACTTGAGCTTTTGCAACACGTAACTATCTCGTTTTATTGGGAATCCTTCACGTTTGTCTTGTTTTTATCGACCAATTATTATTTTCGTACTTCTGGTTTTTTGTCGCATTAATTTGACAGAATTAAAAACGCTTCTCTATAATTGCAATACATACATCAATGATCCTAGGGAAGTTCAATTTCATATAAAAAACGAGAAATAATTACGAAATTACAGTTTTCCTTATCAACTTTTATCTCATGCCGTCTCGAATGACAGGCCAGCTGTCAATTCATCATATTATGTGCTTTATATAAAAAAATATACATTTTATATGAATATAAACACAAATTCCTGGGATTAAGAAAACACGAAAAAAAAGAACTATTCTCTAAATCTAGATTCTAAGTCTAATATAAAAGTATAGTTTGCATTAAGATTCCTACATAAGTGTGCGTGTGTTGTAGGTATAATAGAGCAAAAATTAGCAATACATGTTTACGTTCAAACAAACTTACAATAGTATTAAACGTAGCAAAAAGTGATTCCATGTGTGGCGTGTATACATGGATTTCTAATACATGTTTGATCTGGATGATTTAATGTGAAATTCAAAATATCATTTTTATTTCCAAAATGAGAGCGGCTAGAAGTCGAGCTCATCGTTCTTATTTGTATCACAGATATCCCGATATTGCCCAACGGCAGGAGATGGTCTGGGACGCGAAGCGGAAGTCCCTGCGCGAAACGATGGACACGTACAACCAGCCGCCGCAGCGTCAGCGCCGCAAGTCGAACCGGGAGTCTCTGGGTTCGGAGAATGAGGAGAGGAATGTCGGTCGCGGTCGCAAGTCGCTCAGGGACTCGTCTCAGTCGGACAACGACGGCGAGCCGGTTAAGCACAAGAAGGGCGGCCGTTCTAGGAAAGTATCGGAGACCACCACGTGACCAAGACCGATGCGTTGAGGTGACTGGAACCTCTTTGCTGTGCTTTTGCATCGGCGAATAGCGAAAATGTCTCTCACGAAGACCGGAAAATGCCGGAGAGACGACTTCTCCGGAAGACGAAGCTTTATGTTTCAAGCAATGACGATATTATGTACGATTAGTTCATTGCATGTATAAACACACTAGCATATATTACGCTATATTTAGCGCGACGTATGTATGTAACACGCAGTACAGATAAACAGTCGACGTATATCATTCTGTTATAATGCGCAGCATGCCTAAATATGAAGCAGTGCACTGGGTTCCTGTACAGTGCTTTCTGCCTCTTATTATTGATACAGACACTTCAATTAAGTAGCAATTAATAATTTATATTTTATATTTTATTGGCGAATAGAAAGTGAGAAAACGATGGTTGATTTTTTATATTACTTATAGAATTATTATTGCAATATTCAGCAACGAAATGCATATATATTTTATTATGATAATACTAAATGGAAAGTCAAATCGAGCGTTTGTTATTTCTTAATTCTTATTGAAATTAAATTTGAATATCACAGTAACAATTGTAATAGCAATATAAAAACAACATCGTTTACTCAACATGCTATCCGACGCATATTTATAATTATGCCTTTCAATTGTATGATATGGACACACTTTATAGATAGCTATTTAATTATATATTGTTGACTGATTTGTTTTTGTTTTTATATCGCTAGTATGTTATGATATTCGAATTCGATTTAGGTAAGAATATATATATATATATATATATACAGGGTTTGTCCGGAAAGTAATGCGTCGCATTTTTTTGTGACGCGACTATACATCGCAGAGCGATGGGACCGGTTGGGGAGGAAGGGGGGTACCCTTAGCTTTCCAACGGTAGGTCGCTCAATTGTTTCCATGCGCTTGGAGGGTTAGGACGGCTTATTCTGTGAACCTCTGCTTAGTGGTCGCGTCGAACTTGTGATGGAGAGAACGATAGAGCAACGCTATGCGATAAAGTTTTGCGTGAAGCTGGACAAGACGCCGCTGGAAACTTTTGAAATGCTCAAGAAAGTTTTCGGGGACGATTGCCTTTCCAAATCGCAGTCAAACAGATGGCACAAGATGTTTAGAGAAGGTCGGAAGGAGGTCGCCGACGAGGCCCGCGCAGGACGCCCGTCAACATCGCGAACGGACGACAATGTGACTCGTGTGCGCCAATTATTGAATTCAGACCGTCGAATGAATGTTCGCTTAATGTCGGAATTATTGAACTTGCCGAAAACGATTGTTCACGAGATTGTATCGGAAGACTTGGCCATGCGGAAGATTTGCGCAAAACTTGTGCCCAGAGTGTTGACCGATGCGCAAAAGCAACACCGAGTGGAAGTTTGTGAAGAACTCAAGCAACTCTGTGCAGATAATCCCAATTTCCGGCGGACTTTTTTTTATTTCCTCGGCTGAAAAGGGAGCTCAAAGGACAACAGCTCGAGTCGGTTGACAACGTACAAGCTACTTCGACGGCCTCCCTGAACAGCATCCCAGTCAAGGAGTTCCAGAAATCTTATGACGCATGGAAATCGCGTTGGCAAAAATGTATTGACGCAGAAGGGTCATACTTCGAACAATTTTAAGTTGTTTTACCTATGCGATCAATAAATTCTTTTTTAAAAAAATGCGACGCATTACTTTCCGGACAAACCCTGTATATATATATATATATATATATATATATATAAAGAAATGATGAGCGCTTACTTTAGCTGTATATTAATTATATTCATAATAAAGTGCATATGTGATATGTATACTTTGTTGCTCTATTAATACCTCCGTTAATTGAAAAGAAACAAAAAAGAAAAACAGGTTTGTTTTTTGTGTGCTCTGTTAAAAGAGGATCTTAAAAAATTAACAGAGATGACAGATCAAGTTGCAGTTAATATTATAATACGCTTTTATATTATTTAGAAATCAAAATTTTAGATATTTTTTAAATATTATCTAGACGAGAAAACGCTTAAATTTTTGAAAACACGAATCTTGTTTATCATGTAAAATTGTATTACAAAATTTTCGAAAACGGTTTAATGTAATTTATATTATAAGATTAAGTTTTTAATTAATTTTAAAATTATTGAAATTTTACTAGATATTTTAATAAAATTAATAATTAAACATTTTATACCTTAATGTAATAGATATTAATAATTTTTAATAATTTTTATTGTGGTATAAATTTTAATCAGAAAACTCATAAAATTCTTCCAATATATCATATTGTCCCACGATTATGAATTTGAAGATCAATTTTAAGATAAATTTTTAGAATTTTGATTTATTATTCATTTTGTTGAAAATAGCTCAAAAAGATGTCAGAATAACGTATTATTAGGTTTAATGTTTAAACTAGACTGTTAATTTTTTAATTTGATTTTTATTTATAACGTTCAATCTATAACGTCAATTTCATATACTTTAAGTTTGTATTTATCTAAATTAACACAAATTAATTATAAAAATTATTTTACTTATACATGTAATAAATATCTTGTTGAAGAAAATTAATATTAGAACGTGATGAGCATTTAATTATTAAAAATATGTCATATGTATGTAAAAAATGATATTTAATTCTTATAAAAATGTATAAATTATAATATTAATGTTTTATTATTATTATTAAAAATTACTTATTATAATTATTTAATTAACATTAATTCAATATAAACATTTTCATACTTTTATTATATCATTTCTTTATGACATAATTTATATAATTATTTTGACAGCTCGATGTATAATGCATTATAAATTCTAACGTAAACATATATAATAATTATATTTATTATTATAAAGCATATAATATAATATATAATATATAATATTTAATATATATTAATTGTAATTATTATATATATATACATATATAATTTATAATGTATAATATATATATATATATATATATATATATATATATATAAAATAATTCTTGTTATAAGAAATTGATATTAAAACGCGATAAGCATCTAATTTTTAAAATAAATGACTGAGCTTTTAAAAAAATGTACAAATCAATATATGTTATTATTATTATTATTGTTAAAAATTATTTAAAAATTATATTTATAGTGTACGTGTGTATATGTATATACCTGAATGCAGAAATATTTTTACTAGATGTATCATTTTATAAAAGCTATCGTTAACTTAATCGATAATTAATTTTACGAAAGAAAAATGTATTGTACAGTTTAAATTTCTTCATATAAATAATAAAAAAAAAAACTAATAATTTTATTTATATTAATCATTTAAAGTTATATACGTATTGTTTAAATATAATTAGCCGGAAATTTTCGTCGAAGTAGTCGGATCATCCAAAAACTTGTACCATATTATAATCATTTCCATCATACAGACTTGAGAAATTCAAAATAATTTTTAAAAAATTTAGAAAAATTATTTTTTTTCTACAAAAATCATTCATAGAAAAAAAACAGAAATCCGGAAACGTTATTTTTTAAACAAATCGATAAAAGTTGTAGTTTACTGCTTTTCAGCTAATATTGCTTTCGAGCATTCTCCCATAGGTTTGAACGAGTAGGAAATTTCTTCGCTGAATCTCATCTCGAAATTTTCCACCCACATAACTTCTATAAAAATAAGCTTCTTCTCCGTCACGTTTGACGGCCATTCTATCTTCTTACGTTTAGCATATTTGCGACCAAGTATTAGTAAACGTTCTAAAGCGCAAAGTTGACAAGTACAGGTGGTTTGCGACGATTCACTTTTCCAATCTTTCAAATATTGCAAAAGCGATTCCTCATTCACGAATGAAAACCTTATAATTTGACTGCTTATTCTCTTGTCGTATCTGTCATATTTATAATTTTCAAAGTTTAGAATATAGGCGTTGTTTATTTCAACGTTTAATTTATTTGCATTAATTCCATAAAAGTTCGAAGCGTCGTCTAATGTTCGCTTTTTTGCAAATATATCTCTTATCGCATTCTCATATTTTGATCTGTACGTATTAAACCTCTCTCTACGTCTTCTAATAATCACTTTTAGATTTAAAATTGTCTTCTCGAGGTTGTATTTTTTTGCCACGTAGTCTATAGGTAATGCCTTTTGCACGACTTCTCTCGCAGCTATCCCGAGTTTATTACTTATCGCGAGATGTTCCGCTATCATTTCTCTTCTATCGAACATTTTCAAAGTTCTGAAGCCAGTAAAATATTGATCTATACGAAGAGAAGCAAAAAACAAAAAATAAATGCATGATGTTGCAATTATATATGCAATTATTTGCTATGTTATATATATATATATATATATTTGCTATGTTATATATATATATATATATATATATATATATAATATCTAAATAAAATTATTAGATGATTCATCTAGATAAAATTTTGGTGTCATCTTATCTTTATATAGTGTGACGTGACAAATTGAAATTGTCCGTCACAAGGGCTGAATGGCCCGATCGGGGGAAGGCACGGGACCTCTGCTCTCCCGAGACAGCGAGAGAGAGAGAGAGAGAGAGAGAGAGAGAGCGTGCGTGCGAAAAGCGCGGGACCGGACGCGATCCCGCTGCTACGCGTTTTCGTGTATTTCTTTTTGTTGTTAGGAGTTTGTTTGGAGAAGTTAGGATTATTTCGGCGGCAGACAGGATGTGCGACGAGTCTCAGCCGAGAGAGAAACTCAGAGAGGAAAGATAGGAGAGCATGGGAAGCAGGACGACGGGGACCCCCTTCGTCAGGGACACGCTCGGTAAGCCAAGATCAACAATTTCTCCACCGAATATCCGACAACGGAGTAGGTGCCACTGCCTCAAAAATTTGTACCTTCCAGGAGCGAGCAGGGGATGGCCACTCGGGTGCAACAAGCACCCGAGTCCCCGCATACGGAGCGCCGGCAGGAGAGCTGCCGCCCCCGGGACTTCCGGAATCCCGAAGGAGAGCAAGGAGCGGCCCTGCCGTGCGCTGCCGCGACGACCGCCTACGAGGGGCAACCCGCGGATCAGGACTCCGCGGGTAAGGATAATTACGCGCGCGGCCGCAAGGATCACCGAGGCCGCGCGCGCGGCCGACCTGATAGCGCCGCGAGTGGCCTATCTAAGTAATTGGGTCACCGACGTGTCTTCTGAGGGCCCCCGGTTCGGCACTGTCTAGCGAGCGCCCGAGGAGAGCAGAAGTCCCGAGCTGAAGCGCAACTCAGAGAGAACGAGAGAGGAGAGGACGCCAAGGAGCGTCATAGGACTGGTGAGACGACGTGGTCATCCTGCTGTCGCCGAATTAAGGTAGTAGGGTGGATGGGTTCCGAATCATTTATCGTTACTAGATTACGCTGGACTTAGTTGCCGGCCGTTTTAAAAATTTTCGAGAGATTCGTTTATTGTCGAGTCGCGTTAGTAACGTCGCGAGACCCTATTGGGAGAAATTACGACCCATCCACTCTCTCGCGTTTCCGCATATTCTCTCTCCCGCGTGGACAGTCCTCGCGCGTAACATTGTCGCGCGAAAATTACCGCGAACTACGCGTTGCCGATTATTGTTCGAAGCGAAAATCAAAGAGTTCATAAACGCTTTCAGGCTCATTAAAGTATTGATAATGTAAAGTATTAATGTTGTAAAGTATTGAGGTTGTAAAGGCTTAAACGAAAAGGCGTGATTACGTTTGATTTTGTGTGTGTGG